TAACTCGAAACTTCTTTCGATTATTTGTCAAAAAAATCGAAGAAATTTCTTTTAAAGTTTGCCAGTTTAGTGCTCGTCCTGTTTCTCTATGTTCCCAACAATACCATCTCTGTTTCTCTTGAATATCCGAATGTTTAGTAGAGTTTCATACCTTGAATCACAGCTGTATATATTCCCTGATTTTCTAATCCTATATCCTGGAGTTGTACAGTAATTGAATTTGTTTTGTAATCTTTTTTTAGATTAACAATTGGTTCATGTGTTATTGGAGTATTATTATGTAAAAGTTCGATTTTGTTTAGTGGTACATCGAAACTTGGCGTTAATTCAAATGTTACTGTGTCACCTAATTTCAAGACATAGGATATATATCATGGTGTTTTATTGTCACACTAGCTTACCTTCATGAACCAGTTTCATTTTAGGTTGTTCCTCCAATGATGATAGACTGTAACTTGTTGTAGATACAATTGGTTCTTGTTGTGACAGTACATTTGTGGTTGTATCTGCTGTGTGAGGTATGATTTTGATTATTGGTGTACGCAAAATTGTATGTGGACTTCGTAATTCATATACATCGGCGTCGGTAGGTCTAAGATCTTTTATTATCAAACTGCTAACATAATTATCTTTTGTAATTTCTACTCTCGGACTTTGTTCAACTAACTGCTTTCCATCTGATCCTTTATACCAATGGTAAGCATTGTTAACCGTTGGCTCTTGAAAACGACATTCAATTTCCAGTGTATCACCTGAAACAAAGAAACAATGTGCAGAATTTTATACCAGGTTAGATGAATAAAAGATTATACCTTCCACGAAGGTATCTGTTGGTAAATCAATCATTTGAATTTGTAACTGACGTGGAATAACATTCAGAGTGATTATGTGTTGAGTCTGATTATTAATTATAGCAGTGTAGTCGCCCGCATCATTTAGTTGTGCATCTATTATACTCAATCGAACGTCTTTACCACCAAATTGTTCAAGACATACATGTTTGTTATCTACAGGCGTTGGTTGATTATTTTTTAATAACTGTACATCGTTTGTTGTGATTGGCGAAGTTGATGCAATTTTCAAAGTAACACTATCGCCTTCTTTTACGGTGCATACTTTTTTATCATGTGGTAAAACTAGAAGAAAAGTACAGTATATACTACTCAAGAAAAGTAAGAGTTTATTAGTTGATTTTTGTACGTGATCCTAGATCAACCCTGATTTAACTCACTATAGCTCACTTATTTTCAAAGGTTGGACTGTTCTCAATTACACTTAGCCTTACACTTTATATAGAAGTTTACTGCTAAATTGAAAAACAAAATAATGCCTCTTTGGCGAGTGACTGTTTTGTGTGGGAACAACTCAAATGAACTAACTCAGAGACTGTCGATCATAAAATAACAGTTAATTTTCCATAGCTAGAGCTAATATATATAATTGTTGTGCTGTATTGTACATTATTAGACGAATAACTCGTTGATAGTTATTGAATTCTTTCTAACCTGTGGCTTTTGGTTGCTCTGGCTGATTGGGTTTTATGCTGTAGGTTGTCGTTTCCTCGATAGTTTTCACAGTAGCTTTTGGTCGTTCAATAACATTTATATACGGTGTCTGCACAATTAATGGGCCACTTTGTACTTCATAGACACCTGAATGTAATTAAACAGATATTTAGAGAGTCACTTTTGCTGTCGATTAAAAGGACTTACCAGCATCATTCAACTGCAAATCTCTTACTACTAATGTTACTTTATTGCCATTGGTATTCATTGAGACACGATTACTATCGTGTAATTGCACATCATCTTTTGACCATGTTGGCGGTTGTTGAGGTTCATGCGTGAACTCTAAATCTAATGTAACTGTATCTCCAACATAAAACGTGTCTTGTTGCAATTGCATATGTTGAATTTCCGGTTGACGTTTCTCAACTTTAATTCGAGCTAACGGATGAACATCGTTTTGGACTTTCACACTGTATACACCACTATCATCTAACGCCAGTGTTTGAAGTGTAATGCGCAATTTATCATTATCATGTTCAATGGATGACTACAAAATAGCATGAAATAAATACTTTGGTCGGAAATACATGTAATTTAGAGCAGATGTTTTCTTCCATAATCTGATTTAACTTACCTTTGGTTTTTTATTCAGTGGTTCACCATCTTTCAATAACTGAATATCATTTGGTCGCAAGTTAAATTGTAAACCTTCAACCGATAATGTGACAGTATCATTTTCTCGAACGATTTGTAGTGAGATATTTTGTGGTTCTCGTTGACGTTTTGGTACGACGTATATCATTGGAGCACGTGCAATAACTGAACCAATTCGTACTTCATATACTCCTGAGTCATTTTTCGTCACATTTCGTATAATGATAGTCAATGTATTATTTTCATCAAGCATTTCAATCTTTTTAGTGTTTGTTGTTAAATCTGTTGGGGGCGTGACAATAGGTATACCATCTTTTAACCATGTAGCAAATTGACCAGGTCGTTGAGGAAAGGTGCATGCTAATCGAATTGTTTCGCCCTCTTCAAACGAATTCTTATCAAGATCGAGTATAAATACTTCTGGTTCTCGTTCTTTCACATCTAGTTGACATACAGGTGTACGCTCGCCGTGAATATCAATTTCATATAAACCGTAATCATCTAGTTGCAAGTTTTTCAACTCTAATCTTAATTGATCGTTTTCGTGCCATTTTTCTATTTGTGGTTTCGTTGTGATTGGTCGATTATCTTTTAGCAACGTTATTTCTTCTAGCAATGTTTGAATTGTTTCATTTGGATGTTCTGCACGATCAATATTAACATCGATTTGTAAACTATCGCCTTCGATCACCATTCGATTTGGTGCGGGTATTTTAGGTTTTTCTACAATTCGTATTAACGGCGTTTCAACAATTAAGTAGTCAGTACGTAATTCGTAGATGCCTTCATCTGTATAATCCACATTTTTTATTGTTAAAGAATATTTTGTCGGACCATCATCTGACATATTATCAACTGTTACGATATGTCGATTAGTTGACTGTATTGGACGACCATTTCTGAACCATGTGGGTTGTAATGATTTTGTTTTTATCGGTTTCTGAAAATTACATTCCAGCGTTATAGTTTCATTAAGAAAGAATTCTTCTTTTGGTAATTCTATCAATTGCCGTTGCACCGGACGTTTTTTAACATACAAATCAATCAAATCTTGACGTTGATGATCAATATCAATTGAATATAAGCCAGTATTTAATAAGTCAACGTCGACTAAACGCACAAGCCATCGTGTATCCTCACGTTCTAAACTTATATGAGAATAGTCATCAATCGGACGATTATTTTTCAATAACTGAAGTTGATCAGCTGTGATTGAACGAGTAGAATCGGGTGTCACTTCAATTGTTAATGAATCACCTTAACAAATTAGCAAAAAATATTATTACGGTAAGAAAAATCTACATCAAAGTGATATTTTACCTTCCATAACTTCTTGTCGTTGAACTTGCATTATCGGCTTCATTAATCTCTCTTCTTCATCTTCTGTTGTTGTTGTCTTATAGTCTGTTATTTTATCATCAACAACTTCCAAATGACATGTTCGGTAAATAGATCCTAAAGATATTACATATTTTCCCGAATCATTTTTATTTATATCATGTATTAATAAACATTGAATTGTTCCTTCTGAAATTAATTCATATTTATCATTCGTATATATTTCATGATTTTCTTTAAACCATTTAACAGGTACATTGAATTTATTCAATGTACAACTTATTGTTGTCACAGGACCATCTTCTTTTCGTTTCCATACGAGATATGATTGTGGTCCATCAACAAATTGTGGTCCTGCTTCTTGTACTCTTACATCACACACTGACCATTTATCTTCTACCTGACATGTATACGAGCCACTGTCATTCTTTGTTACATTATTTATTATCATTGTACATGTTTCATCACCCATAATTAACATTAAATTAGGATTTGTCATAGTATCTAATATTTGACTATTATTTTTTAACCATCGTATGTTTTTTGGTTTACGATTTGTTTCACACAATAATGTTAATGTATCATTTTCATTTAATTTCAATATTTTCGGTAATGGCTGTATTATTTGTAATTCTTTTTCAATTATTTTTACAAAACACTCAGTAGCAACGTTGGTTGTATCAATATAACATACATAATTGCCTTCGTCTTCTTGTTTGCGACATTTTTTTATCACAAATCTATGCGTCATACCAGTTTTATCTGTTTGTTGTGTATCAGGTGTTTTAATTAATTTATAACCGTTTTTCATCCAATTAACACTTGCCGTTGGTTTATTTGTTTTTGTTACCAACGTAAAATCGTCACCTTCTTCACATAAAAATGTTTCATCTAATGGTTGTATAAAATTGATTGATTCTATGTTTGGTGTTTGTAATATTTGGACGGTAGCATAAGATCTTTGATCACTATTTGGAAATTCAATATGATACTGACCTTGATCGCTCAATGTGATATTATTAATAATAAGTCTATGATGTTTACTATCATCGATCAATTCGTATTTATTTGATGGTTGTATTAATTTGGTATTATTGAAATACCATGACGGTTTTTTATCGGTGGGAGTTGTCTCACAATCAAGTTGAACTTGTTGTTGAGTTAGCGGCTGTAATAAGTAACGTTGTGTTTCAAGAGGTTTAACAAAGTGGATATTTAAATCTTTAATATTAACGTAGCATGCCGATAAATCTTGTTTATTATTCGAATTTAATCTAACGCTATAATAACCATTATCTTGATTCAACAAACAATTATCAATAATTAATGTATTCTCGTTGCTGTGTTGGATAAAGCGATATTTATCTTGTCTTGTTTTTATTGCTTGACCATTACGATACCATTTTATTTGTGGAATATTTTTAATTTGTTCTGGTAAAAATTTAACCGTTAACGTACACATATCATGTTCGTACAGTTCAACATCTTGTAACGGTTGTAATAAAATGTCTTTTGCATTATTCAGTGTTGGTATTAATTGACATTCCGTATGAGCATTATCGATTTCACAACGATACAGCGCTTGATCGTCAATGTTCAAATCATGTATAATGAGTGCTAATAAATGATGCTCAATAATAGTTTCATATTTTGGAGATGTTTTTATTTCTAGCTCGTTTTTAAACCACTTGACACGGTTCGATGAAGTAGGTGAATGATTTATTGTACAATTTAAAGTGATAGTTCCTTCATTAGGAGAATAGTAGACATGAGATGGTAATGATTGTACAAAACGATAATCCGATTCATGTACAGTAATATGACACGATGTTTCTTTATCTTGCACTAAACAACGATAATGACCTGTATGTTGTTCTAGAGCATGATCAACCTAAAACAATACCAGAATAAATCAAATTCCACTGATATAAGAAATTCTAAAATTACTCACTTGTAAAACATGCGAGCATCCGTCCGAAATCGTTTTTATCGTTTTGTCGTGCTCTGTTATAGGTTTTCCGTCTTTGTACCATCTACTTATCAAGTTAGGATGATTGATACGACATTCGAGAATAAATGGTGAGCCAACACGAATAGTCATATCATCATCATCTAATAATTTCAAAAATTTTATATTTTTATCGGTATCATCAATTGTTAAATTCGCTGTTGTTATCGTATTATTTAAACAACATGTTATAGTACCAATATCATTTTCGCTTATATTATTAATGGTTAACTGAATTTCACGATCGATTAATTTTATTTGATATTTATTGTAGACATTTAAGGGTAAAGGAATTCCATTTATATACCACTGAACAGTTTTGGGCGCTTTTGAACAAACACACGTAAATGTAACATTATCTCCTAGTTTTGCTCGCTGATCTTGTAATGGTTTTAAAATAAGAAGCGATTCTTGTGTGATATTCAAATATGTTGTACTTTCTAATTCGTTAACATTAACTGTATATAAACCCGAGTCTTCGGCTGAGGCATCTTTGATAATTAGTTTATGTTTTTTGTTTTCAACTATTGGCATGAACTTCGACAGATTCTGAAACACAAGATAAGGGAAGAACAATTGCGATAGATCATCGATCGTTTACCTTAATCGGTTCGTTATCTTTCTTCCATAAAGCTTGTGTATCATAGTGATTCATTTCACATTCAATCGCAATGTCGCGTCCACCAATAACATCAATGGTTTGTGGTAAGCGTTTCATAAATTGTAAATCTTCATCATTGACTTGAACATGGGCTTTTGTTGTCAAATTTTGTATTCGACATATATAATCGCCACTGTCGTTTGATGTGACATTTGGTATAATTAACATATGACGGCTACCTTGCGATATCATACGATATTTATCGCTTTCATCAAGCTTTTTGGCCACTGGATGTTGTGAATATGAGTCTGTTTTGAACCATGAGGCATCATTTGACGGAAATGAAGTTTCAACAACTAAACGTAACGGTTTTCCTTGTTCGACATATGTATCAACTAACGGTCGTGTGATATGAATAGGTAATGGTTCAGTGACATTGACACGCGATGTGGTTAAACCAGATCGTTCTTCACGTTGGAAAAATGGTGTCTGTCTATCGTATGCTTCGCTATCTATAAATTGTGCATGCTCTTCTGGAATTGTTTCTTTCTGATATGGAGCATGTTTTAAATCGCGACGTGGTGATTCTCTAAATATATCATATACTATATTAAAAAATAACTCATGTCTGTGGCAAACTACTTACCGAATCGGTATTTCCATCATGACCGTTTTCCGTTCAATCGATTCTTGTGATCGCGTGCGGGCAGGCGATTGCGACGGACTGAATGTTACTGCAGAACGATGTCGCTGATGCTCATCTAATTCTTCATATACGGGTGGCATGCTCAGTTTTGCAGCATTCATATTTACAAATGTCATACTTGTTTTTCTTGTCGGAGATGGTGATGGTGATAAACGAGGTGATTCTGATCGATCATGTGGTAAATAATGACCAAAATCTTGTAATTGTGGTGGTCTTGCATATGTGGCTGCTGATGGTGAAAACTGTCTTGGCAATGAACGTTCTTTTTCAGGACTTGTATCACCTGAACGAACGGAATAATCACGAGAAAGAGATCGACTTGAACTTGGGCGAAATGTAACTGAACCTGAGAAATTAATCAGAGATCAAGTAAAAGCCTAAAAAAAGCACAAAAATACGTACTCGTTTTCATTGTTGGTATGCGTTGTTCGCTAGTTTCTTGGATAACGATTTTCTTTCTACGCTGTGTTTCTTCAAATCGATCTGGGAAACGTGTCTCATCATCATTCATTGATGGTACATATCGAGGTCCACGCTGACCACCAGGACTTAAACTTGATCGCGTTAATCCAAGTTCCGGTGTTTGCATGCGAGGTGAATCAGTTCTCATGTATGTTACATATCTTTCTTCACTTCTTGGTGTATGTTCCCGTTGTATTAATGTACGCAATGTTGTTGATGATGATTGCCCTTCTCTCGTTACACACGTGTAAACACCTAAATAGAAATAGAACTTGTATACAAATAAATTAAAGTAAATTTTACTATTACCTTCATCCTGTTCGTTAAAATGATGAATGATTAGGGTGCTATGTTTATCATCATTGAGAAAGATGAATTTATTGTTGTTAAGATTATTTATTGTTGTATTATCTTTAAACCATTGAAAATAGGTTGAGGTGAATGTTTCACAATTTAATACTGCATCTTGTCCACGCACAATTTCCATAAAAGGTTTTAATTGAGCAGAGAAAATGGCTACATTAATTAGAAATAATTTTAGAAACTAAAACGATATCTAAAGTTTTGTTTCAACTTACACTGCTGGTTAAAGTCTTCGACCAGTAAATGAGCACTCGTTGTTATTGCAGGATATTCTTTTATCGCACAAACAACTTCGCCTTGATCTCGTTGATCAAGATTGTCAATATCAAGTGTATGCAATGTGCCGCCATTCATTTTGCCTATACAAATCGATTCATGTAAGAAATGTGATGAATACGAAAATAAAAATGACATACTTATTGTGTATTTGGGATTATTTTCTAATATTTTTTTTTCACGATGATACCAAATAACATTTGCTGGTGTACTTGTCTCACACGATAATTTAACGGTCTCAGTTATATTTGCTCTTGCATCCATCAATGGTACAATAAATATAGGTAATAATTGCTCTACAGACAAATGTGCTGTTGACTTATTGAACCCTGTCGATGCCATATAGTCGCCTTCATCAAATTGGTCGACATTACGTATAGTTAAGCGATGAATTAAACCATATGATTCCATCGAATATTTATCTGACGGTAACAAATGTATAGTATTCGATTTAAACCACAACATGTGTTTTAACGGTTTATTTAATTCACATTCGAATAGGACAGTACTTCCTTCCTCGACAGTTTGCGAACGTAATGAACGTCGAAATACAATTGATTGCTCTAAAGAAGACACATTTATAATATATACGATTTACAATGAGAAAGGAAGACAATAAATTCAGCTTTCCAACGCATCCTTCAAAATATAAACACGATTTCAGATTTATAGTGTTTTACATACCTTTGACATACAATTGTCCAGTTGATGTATTTTTATTATCAACTCTAATTGAATATTCACCCTCATCATTCATGTTAACATGTGGAATAATTAATTGATGTAGGGTGTCTCGCGATGCTATTATGTGATGATTTGAATTTATTAAACGTTGATTATTATGATACCATTCAACTTGCGCATCATCAATTGATAACTGACATTCAAATATGGCTTCGTTGTTTTCAATAACTTCAATATTTTCCAATGATTGCACAATGTCGGCAGGTGGTCCACGTACATTTAAATGCAATGTAACACGATACTTTCCCGATTGACAAATATAATCGCCTTGATCATCTTTTGTCACATTTCGAACGATTAACTCTCGTTGTAAACCTTCACTTGTTATTTTATATTTATTAAAATTATCTTTTTCATTTAATATACGCTCATCTTTGATCCATTGAACTTTAATATCGGGACGTTTCACTGTAAGACTTAATTTTGCCGTACCTTTATCTTGAACATTCACACGATTAACATCAGATGGTATGAATACACTTTCACGTTCTAAAAAATAATATTGCAATCGCCGTAGTGATAGAGAATTATACTAGAAAAAGATAATTCTTATTTTCTTACCAAGTATCTGTAAACTGGTTTTTGAATCTGCAACACCATATGAATTTTGGACATTTATTTCATACACACCAGTATCATCTGGCGACGTATCAGAGATAACTAATGAGTAATTTCCATGTCCATCATTAAATACAGAATAACGGCCGCCAGTATGAATTTCAATACCATTTTTTAACCTAAACAGTATGCGTATAATAATAACATTTTGTGCGAAGTAGAGTAAAATTGTAAAAAAGGAAACTAACCATGTTGCATCTGGCATTGGCAACGCAGTTATTGCACATTTTAATGTAACAACGTCACCAGAATTCGATATTAAAGGCATTAATGAATGAATAAATATGGGTCCACGGCCAATCGACGGTGTTACGTTCGATAACCTTAAATTGTATGGTATTTCTGTGATACTTAAGTCTTCTTCGTTATCTGTGGTATCTTTTAAAAGAATATAATTAATAATTATACCATTTTACTAAACATAAATATTGCCTACCTCTTTTCTCTTGTGGTGTTTCTTCTCGTATACCTATTTCTTCACGTATTGTACGTTCATCACTCGTTTCTAAATTGATATTTTTTGTTATTTTTATGAATAATTGTTTGTAATTTTATATTTTAAAAGTACACTTACGTTCTCGAATAAATAATTTACAACTACATGTGATTGTACCAGCATGATTCGAGACTTTAATAGAATAAATACCGCCATCATCAACAAACGCTTCCTAAACATAATAAAAAAGCTTTGATTATTTTCTGATAGAAACTAAAATTATATGAATACCTTAATAATTAAACTGAATTTTCGATCTTCTTGTATTTGTCTACAATCAGAATTATCTTGTAAGGGTATATTATTTTTGAACCATGTTCCGTGTACTGGCGTAGTACTTATTACAAGACATTCTAATACAATATAGTCACCTTCTAAAACGTAAAAAAAGGCAAATTAGTCATATTCAATATAAAAAATAAAACTATAAACTCATACCAGTTGCAAGTGTATCATTTAATTTTTTTAAAAATTTTGGTTTAAATTCATCTTCACCGGGCGTTTGATAACTCGATTCACTTTCACTGAATGAATAAAAATCTGATGTACCAGATGTTGTAGCCAAACCATCACTACTTCTTGTCATATTTCCTCGACGCTTCTGCGATAAATTTTGATTAACATCTTCTTGTTCACCGGAAAGTTTTGGTTGTAACTAAAAATTTATTTTTATAAGAGAAAGTTTTAGAAATTTTTAACCTGTTTATGCCCAAATTTTTTCTATCAGTTTAAATTAAAATATTAACTAGATCTTGTCAAAAATTATTGAAAGTCTAGTTGTTTAGATATTCGACACTAAACAAGTGTCTCTTTAAGGATAAAATAGACATAAACAGGTTAATGATATAGTAATACTTACATCAACCGATTCTAATACATCAACATTTCGTTTTTTTCCAATAGATTTACGTTGTTGTCTTTGTATATTTTGTTCATCATTTTCGGTCGCTGTTTCAATCATTTCAACTTCTTCTACAAAACCTAGAAAAATAAACATTAACATATGTCGATTAAAAACTTTGTTAATAAATGACATAGAACAACATATAATTCGATTCTTACATGCGTTCAACATAGCAAAACTAAAATCACATGCAATAATGGGAAATATTTAAATGCACAAATATAAGGCATAATAAGAAAATCGAAGATCTAAAAGCGCAAATTAAAAGTCACAGAAATAGAAGCAACAGTTTTGACTCTTAGGTCTAGAATAGTGGTAAATTCTGCGAGAATATAGGGTCAGATGCATTGGTCATTCCATCTTGCTGTCTTTTTTTTTTTTTTCGTTTTTTTCAGTTTTAACTTACATCCACGTTTTACACTATCTTTATCAATATTAGACGTAGAGTAGAGATAGGATGTTGTACGACTGAGACCGATATCGTTCACTTCAAAACCTAGAATATGATGCTTTTTGCTAATATGTGTCTTTTTAAAATAACAACAACAACAACAACAACAACAGCACTCAAAAAGCTTTGTTTTTTTTTTTTGTCTATATTAATATCACAGAAAAAACATTTGATATACGTATTTCTTTTTCTTTATATTATTAAGAATATTTAACTCATGCAATAATGAAATATATTGAATAGACTAGTACATACCTAATGATTTTAAAATTTCTCTCAATGATCTTATTAATGACATTTTAGCAAAAACATTACGAGCATGAAATGTCACTTTTTCATTATCATTAAATGTTATTTCAAATTTTTTATCATCATCAGGAAAGTTTTCTTGTATAAATGTTATTTCACTAATCTGTAGATGAAAAAAAAAATAAAAACAATTAGAAATAAATATTTTGATTATAGATTAAATTTTATATTTTTTTTTATAATAAAATGACTACGTACATTATAAGAATTTTTATATGCCAATGAACGTGGTTCTAATTTACTTTCAGCTCGTTTACGTCGACATATAACAATCTTATTACGAAATAAATATAAAAATCGTTCACGTAAACGATTTGTTTCATCTTCATCTTTAATTAATACAGCATCATAACGTTTTAATTCTCCTAATTCACTATTATTTATAGGTAATTGATCAATTAATTCAATTGATTCTCTATTTCGTGCTTCATTCATTATAGCCGCTATCATTGTATATGCTTGTTGTAATACTGTTGCATCTTCTTTCATACGTATAGTATATTTTATTAGTTCCTTAAACAAAAATGATTTAAATTAGTCTAATTTCAATAATAAACAAATTTTTACAATAAACCTGTAAAATTGCTTTATATTTTTCTAAACGTTGAATAGGTTCATTGAGAAGTTCATTCAATGTACGTCCACCAATTTTTCTACTAATATCCTTTAAAACGAAATCCAAAATAAAAATAAATGCTTACAAATGAATAAAGAAATGAAGGTTTTTATTACTTACATCAAAATAGTCTTGTATATTTGAATTAGTCTGTAATAAATGATCCGATTTTGTTTTGTCATAAGCGTATTGTGTATATAATTCAAATTTATTTTGATGTTTTAAAAATGTATTAGCGAGTTCTGTAGGATTATTTGTACTATTAATTAAGTCGGTCAAGAATAAACTAGAAGAGAAGAAATAGAATATAAAAAATAGATTCGAAAACCATTTCACGTAACGATCGCCTTTTATGTCTAAGTTTTGAAAAGAAGTTGTTTTTATTTGGCTTTTTCTTCTATTTTTGGCAATAGTTGTCAGATTTTGAGCACATGATTAAATAGAGAAATGTTTTGAGATTGTAATAAGGTCATTTTAATCTAACTCTCGTGCATCCTTGAAGGGAAAAATAGAACTGTAAAAACGTAGTTATTTGTAAAATGCTTGATGACGTAACGACGATATTTTTCTTATAAAACTCGACACATTTAAACTTAATCAAAATTTTAGAGATTATCGAACACATGATTAAACAAATTTGATAAGAATTTAAGCATATTATCTTCTAAACTCACTGAGAAATTATAATCATAAGCGGAAAAAACGTGATTCAGTTACAATTATTTTGGCTCATGAATCAAATACTTATGTACACTTACACTTTATGGAATGCGAATATATTTTCAATATTGCTAAATAATACATCTTTTTTCTCTTTAATAAACCACGGACATCCTTGACGTGTTAATTCAGACAAATAAATTTCAATTATTTTTTCTAAATCAGATACATATTGACGTTCACTTTCGACAATATCAGCGAAGACATATCTTTTGAAAAGAAAAAAAACAAAAACAAAGGATAAATATACCATCAAATTTTGGTTTTTTTCTCTAATTCGAAAAAAAATTGAAATTTAACAATTTGACACTTACCGTTGCTTTACGATTGCTTCCTCATAACGATTTGGTATTGGTGTAATATCATCTGGATAAACTTCTCTTGTATTTCGTCGATTTATCTGCAATGAAAAACGAATTGTTTTTTCACGTGAACTTTCACGCGGTTGATTTTGCCATTGTGCTGTTGATGATGTCGTTATTGTAGGATATCTATTATAGAATGATAGTACTCTGTGAGTATTATAATTTTCACTGTAATATTCTTTATGTTCATTTAAAAAACTATTATCATCCCTATTCGGATTATTCTCATCATAAGAATCGTGTAATGAATGTGAACTTGAATAATAATCATGCTGTCGTCCACCACGTACATGTGATGATGTTGATGTTGAACGACGTGACATATGAAGATACGATGAACGTAATGAACGACTTAAACGACAACTTCTACACGGACAATAGTGACAATATAAATCTGGTTCTCTTTGAAAATAATAGCTACTTGGAGATGATTGATGACGTTCATGTATTATTTCAGATAAACTACGTTCGAACGATTGATGATGATGTTGTTCTTCGTCTAATGACGGATAAATAAACGAAGATAATTCCGTTGGATTAAACATAGTGAACTGTTATAGTTGTTAGTTTTTTCCAATAGTAGAAATATTTATAGAGAAAGAAACAAATATCAGCAACAGTAAACTACAAGCAACAACAACAACAGTTAACCAACGCTTTTATAAAAATGATAAGTAAAAGTGGCAATCGGACTTATTTTGAGTATTTTATCAATGATGACAACAATAATAATGATATATAGTCTATTATTTACGTAATCTATTTTACGTTCGGTAAGTATAAAGAACATATATCAGGTACAGTAATATTATCTTTGTCACATCATAAAGAGAAGAAAAAAAAGAAGTTGATTAAATGAAAATATCTTTTTCATCAGTAGAATATGTCATGTTTTTCACACTCTCTCTACCTCTGCACTTGTTTATTTACAATTCATCGGTATAACGGCTCCAAATATCTTATATATTATATACAAAAATAACGTTTATTTAATAGCACGATGATAAGAATAACGCCTAATATAAATAACAAATACGTTTTACTGTAATAAAATGGTAATATTTTCTAAAAACATACGTATTTTTTCCTCATCAACAGTTAATATATTCCACTTCAATAATAATATAGATACCTGATGTAAGACAATATTATACCTATTTTGTTATTATTATACTCGGATAAATAAAATAAACACAGTAAATTACACAAATATTGCTGACTGCTTAGTTCATGTAATCTATTCGATGATGAAACTATGCTTAGCTATAGATATTATGTTTTCCTTGATCTCGCAGAGTTTAAAGTGAACCAGCGAACATAATAAAGCGGAAGAGTGTTCAATTTCGATAAATCCAAATTAAATAACGTCTTACAGTTTCTGAACCTAATCCTGACCTTCACAAACTCTGGCATTTATTTTCTGCTTATTGTGCATAAATTTCTATCTAAAATACATTTCTACATCTTTTCACAGATTATCGATGTTTATTAATCCATTTCTTTAGATTTTTTACGGATTACTTCAATTAAGTGGCTGTAACTTTCACATTATTCTTGTTCCTCAAAGTTCTACATGTATCGAAGATAAAATGCATACTTTGACTGAAAGTAATCAGAGATTTTATCCAGCGTATATTTGAGGAGAGTGAAGAAATGTGTAACGTTGATCCAGGTTTAGAAGAACACCAGGATTAGTTAATTAGTGGTTAAAAGGGAGCAGCCGTCCTCTTTATCAAAATTCGGGGCCTCGGCATCTGACATGTTAGACTGCTCTCTCAATCGGACGTACATATCTCATTGATGCTTTATTTTTAACAAAGATTAATTACAACCAAATGAAGTGTGAATCGCACTCTCTGTATATCTGCAATTTGTTAACTGTCAGTTCCTCTTCATAGTTTACGATGCATAGAAAAATTTATAGATGTATAAACTCAAGCAAACACAATCTGTAGTTAATTTGAATAGAAAGTATATCAAACTTCAGAATTGTATAACAGTATTATTTTTAATAACTTATTTTTACTAACTAGTAAGACCTAGCTAGTTTTTCTAATTTTTACATGTGACAACAACAGTCCATTATGAAATCTCAAAAAATAATCGTTGAAGATATTTTTCTAACGTTGATTTAAAATAATTTATAATAATAAATACTTAAAGGTAACTAAAAATATTTTATCTTTATCCTGAATTTGTTTTCTTATTGCAAACATCATATAATAACGGCAGCAACAACAACACTGTTTTACTGAGTAAGAAATATCGTTTCATACCTGTCCAATATTGGTTGACTTTTTTTCTAAGAAACATGAGTGTACCCAACCAACTTTGGGTTTTTCATCTTTTCTTGGTTTTGTACGAACAAGAAAATATTCTGGATCATGATTATCGAGTACATCGACAAATTGATTTTCCACAAGTGCAATACCATCTGATGCTGATGGCTGATAATCAGAATTAGCAAAATAGACTTCCGTTTCCTAAAAAACAAAAAGAATTTATACTGATAGTCACTATCCTTTTATATTTAAATACCATTCAAAGTTTATACCATAAAAATCTTATGACTCAATTTAAGTTCAATATGAAACAATCTACATAACAAATGAACTCGGTTCATTTACAGTACAGCGAAAAATTGTCAGATTGTTAATATTTTCTATCCAGCTTCATTGCTTATTAGCAGTTAGTTTTCCTCAAAATGTAGTTATCAGGTAACTAAAAGTTTTCTTTACGTTTCATTTAGTATTGATAAAAATCGCGTTTTCTTCCTCTGATGGACTGAGGTGTTATATCATTGAATAGAAAAATCAGATCAAAATGTTGTCGAAACATGATCGAAATGAACCAGAAAATTGATAAAAGAATTACTGGTGCATCGACAGCATGTGTTACTAATATTAATTATAACAAAATTTACCATGCAAAAATCGAACACGAATAAGGACGAAAGTATTTATCAACAACAAAATATGATCAAAGGTTACTTATATTAAGTAAGACAGATCGAACTGAATCGGCCGGTTTTATCTTCGGGATGAATACTATCTAAGAGCAAACGAATGAGATTATCTGTTCATAACTGACTACTAGACAAAAGTTATAACAGTTACAGAACAAAGAAAACAGCAGTAGAAAATGCCTATTATAGAAGAGCCATTGTTTTAAATTTAGTAAGCATCATGTATATCATCGTGTATCAATATACTGTCTTTTGTGCTTAGTCTCATGCTGAAGTATTTAGTTGAAAAAGTAGAACAGCAGCTGGAGGACTTTCAGCTAAAAGTGGTAAGGTATTTAAAAAATTAAAAATATTAATTAAAATATCAGCGTTTTATATAAAAAACATTTGATAACAGTTATAGAATATCCTACATCTACTAAACTATATTATTAGTAATGTAGAAAAAAATATATCATCCTTGAATGTTAATTTATTGTAATCATCGCATTTTGTCCAACTTCCTGATAGAAATGATAAAAATATAAGAAAAATGATATGGCTTCTTATACTTGTTTTGTATATCAAGCACACGTGCCATAAATATTACACTTATTTATAGCATTGTGAAAAAATTATAAAAATACTTAGGTTTTCTTTTAGTACTTAGGATATACCAAAAGTACGGGCAGTGACACTTCAATACCGTATAGTAGGCTTAAAGTAACTTTCGTCTATATAATCTGATAGAGAAAAAAAAGCTGTCTTTCTATGCTATTTGATCGTACTTCAACTAATATCACAATGTTAAATTATCTTTAAAACCTATTTCGGCTGGTTATGTGCCGATTGTATTCATACTAATTTTGAAAAAATACGAGTAAGTATTTTTTGAATAACTTTTGATAGAAGCAAGCTAGAGAGCTACGATTTTCACCGTTGGAAAGAAGAGATGGAGACGCATCGAATCATATATTATAGGTTTTCTTGATCTGTTCCTTATAAGATTTTCAATTGGCCTTTTTAAGAACAAACATATTTGATAAGTTGTTTACACAGAATTTTCAATTATCAAGTGTAAATTCAACCCACTAGTCGAAGATCTACAAAGTGCAGAAGGTTGAGATAAATAATATGCACTTTATTCGAGCTTCTAATAGAATTTCCCAGCAAAATCTGTGAAAAAAGCTCACTTTTGTGCTTTTTCCTTTTTTCATAAAAAAAAAACATTTTTCCGACACTTAGAAAATTGAACAAAAATACTTCAGAAATCAATATTAGAAAAGCCTATAATATATGACTCGACGCATCTTCATTTCCTCTATCCAACGGTGAACACCGCAGCTGTCTATCTTGTTTCTATCAAAAGTTATTCAACAAATACTCACTAGCATTCATGGAACCGTGACACATGCGAACAAAACAGATCTTATCAAAATTTTATTATTCTTATATTAGTTGAAGTATGTTCAAATAGCATAGAAAAATAGAGCATTCTTTTCTCAGACTGCATAGAAAGAAAATTTCTTGAAGCTTAATATACAGTATTAAAGTGTCACTGCCCGTACTTTTGGTATGCCCTAAGTATAAATGTTGTCATGACTTTAGTATCTCAACTACTAAAAGTCCTGATAACAAAGCCTGAGTTTCAGTCCTGAACTAGTAAAGTTTTCCAACTCATAAAACTTCATTTTTATTGCAATGCATTTTTAATACGAAAAAAAGTATCAATTTGTTTTGTGAGAACTTACCGGATCAATATCATTTTTAAATTCAGATTCTTAACCATTCCATTCATATCTTCTGGATGTTTTTTCCAGTTACCTAATTTAGTAAATATCATGTATGTGGGGTATCAATATACTATCTTTTGTGCTTAGTCTCATTCTGAAGTATTGAGTTCAAATAGTAGAACAGCAGCTGGAGAACTTTAAGCTAAACTTGGTAAGTCAGTTCAATTAGTTTTACTGTATTCAAAAAGAGTGATGGCAACATAACTGTACAAGAACCTAGAAGACTATCATGTGATGTTTTACTTGAGAGTCTTCTTTTACTGGTTGAATGTTATCAGTGATGTATGTAAAAGATTAACAGACTCCATTGCACGACGTGTTGAAAGATAACAGGAAAAAACATCCAGAAGATTTGAATGGAATGGTTAAGAATCTGAATTTATATTGATCCGGTAAGTTCTCACAAAACAAATTGATACTTTTTTTCGTATTAAAAATGCATTGCAATAAAAATGAAGTTTTATGAGTTGAAAAACTTTACTAGTTCAGGACTGAAACTCAGGCTTTGTTATCAGGACTTTTAGTAGTTGAGATAGTAAAGTCATGACAATATTTATACTAAAAGAAAACCTAAGTATTTTTATAATTTTTTCATAATGCTATAAATAAGTGTAATATTTATGGCACGTGTGCTTGGTATACAAACAAGTATAAGAAGCCATATCATTTTTCTTATATTTTTATCATTTCCATCAGGAAGTTGGACAAAATGCGATGATTGCAATAAATTGACATTCAAGGATGAAGGAATATATTTTTTTCTACATTACTAATAATATAGTTTAGTGGATGTAGGATATTCTGTAGCTGTTATCAAATATTATTTTTTTATATAAAACGCTGGTAGTTTTATACAAAGAGTCATTATTCTATTTTACATACATACCTCTGTCATAGTTTTTATATCATCGCTACTTGAAGATGAATCTTTGTCTTCTTGACTATAACGTTTTTCTAAATTGCCAGCAGATCTTTTTGTGAATGATCGTTGTCTTGAAAGTGCTAAAAGGATAAATTAAAAATCTTAATTATGGGGTGTGAATCAACATTATCAAATTACGGTAACTAAAAACAACACTCTGTTAATGCGTAGTCGATTTTTTCAGTAAATTCGTGGAAGTAAGACTGATTAGAGTTTTCACAGCATCTTTCAGTTAGAATCTTGCTAATCCTCGATAAGCAGTTGTTTAGACTGTTATGTAGAACGATATTTTTGTTATGAAGTGGTCTGTTTGTCTTCGATTTTATAAGAAATCTTTGTTTTTTTCCTGTCTCTAACAGTAACATCCAAAGATAGTACCTTTTTTCAAATCGTAGTTTTGCATCCACAACTGTAGGTCAGAGATGTTACTTGCAGCAATATCTACGAGAATACGGAAAGACTTGTTTTTGACCGACAGATTGTTGAACATACAATGGGTGAATGAGTCTTCAGCCATTACTGTAAATCTGTTTTTCTCTGCAGATTCTCGCAGTGAACATATTTAGAAAACTGTATTCATATCCGTTTCTTTGTCCAGTAATCCAATTTTCTATCAGAATGTCTAACTGATCTCCTGGCATGCTGAAAATACGTTTAGCGTCCTAATCTTTGAAAAAAATTTCAGACGGTCCAGTAGAACCCAAAAATACTATACGTACGCACAGTCTTCTATAATCGGACTAGTTGTGGTGTACTATTCGTGTTCCTTTATTTCACCAAACTTCACTGGCATTAATTGTTACAAAAAGAAAATAATGTGAAATCTTAACATTCTCATCTTCGTCATTAAACAGATCGATATTATCAAATATTTAAAACATGGGTTGACTTCTAGTCGATGGCCATGTGTCACAGATACTCGGGTTGATGTTACAACGGGTCACTGACACATGACTTAAAGAGATTGGTATGAGAGTAAGCTCATTATTGAGAAGAATGATAATCTATCGATGAAAAGGATTCTATTTTCTTATTCAACTAATAATATGTAGTTATTTTACGAAAAAGGATCTAGCAGACAGTTCAAAATGTTATTCGAAATAGGTATTTGAAAAAAGAACCAAATAAGAAAAACAAAAGCCAAGGATCAAACATCGAAAGGTAATTTAACCCTTTAGCTACGGGTCTTTTTTTAAAAGCACACATTTTTCCGCTTTTTCCGCTTTTGACGTTTTTGACCTCAAAACTCAACTTTTTCTCAACAAATCGTACGTATACAGATTCAGCGTGTCGAGCTCTATCAGAATATCGAAAAAATAAAAAGCGCTCAAGTTTTGAATTTCTTTAACCTTACCATTATTCACTATTACCGACAAAAATCAAATTTAAAAACTATGGTTTGATAGTGAATGAAAATCTTTTTTTTCAAAATGTAGAGCACAAAATTCTGCATTGGATAGCGTATATTTTAAATTTTTTAAATAAAATCTCTAGGTCAGGAAACGCAAAATACTAAAAGTGTCTTAAAATTATGTCCCCTGTACAAAATTGTTTTCGCCATGACTCGACCAAAACACGTCTGATCTTGACAATTTTTTGAGATAACATAGTCCTTGACATGGCCTTTCTAATCCTGAAAGATTGCCTGCTAAATGCAGCCACGAAATCAAACCTATGAGTTTTGATTTACCTAGAAACTACTGTGACGCATATCTGCGTCACTCGTAGCCAAAGGGTTAAGATAGAAAACAATTTTAGTCAAAGAATAGCAATGGTGATTCCGTCAGTTGGTGATATAGACTTGTTATATGACGAAAGATCTTTAAGGAAACTTATCTCTACTACATTAATGACAGTTTACCGTGATGAAAACGAACTCATATAATATGCATTTCAAAATTGATCATTTAATCATTTTTTTAAACGTCATCCTTACCTACTTTAGCTCGTAGTACGTCTATAAATAGTTACAAACAATGGCCTTTTAATGTACTTTTAATATATTGTTGAAAAAATGTTGATGAAGTGATTATAACAACTAAATACATCAGTAATAGATATATATACTTAAGAATTTTTCTTTAAAAACTATTTTAGTGGGCAGATTCCTTCGGGTTTCTTTTGTTATTTGTTGTGTACTTGAAAGTATAACTATTATCTATTTTTGTTTCAAATGTAGGCGTCTACTCAAAAACAATATCATGGTTTAGAGTATTATATAAACACCCAAATATTACAATATATGTATAGTCCTTCTTTCTTTGTTGACAGTTGTCAGTTATAAATTAAATACTGGATATACACACATTCTTCTATGAATAACTCATAGGAAGAATGGAACAGTTCTGACAATTCCAGATTCTGACAAAAGAACAACGATGAAGAGAGTCCGCATTTTAAAGGATGGCAATTATCAAATATCACCCCTCATTTAGATACATATCATCAAACTGGTACATTTTATTAAATATCTGTCAAAGTATTAATTAGCACCAAGGAATAATTCGAATTCAACGTTAAACTTGTCGTTACTTTATTTCGAAATTAGGAATTAAAACAGTATTATAATTTATGAACTAAGAACTGAAATGAATTTTTTTTATTTTGAAAAACTCTAAAACTGGATGAAATTTACTGTTGCTACTAATTTGAATAAAAATGAAATTTTTTGATGTTTTAATCTATAATCTGTATCTTAAAAGCTTAAACAATATTATAGAAACGTGTATCGAATGCAATTATAATACATTCTATCATACATTTTATAAGAAAGAAGAAATTCATTTGTAGGCAGGCATAAATGAAGCAGAACTATCTATATTATTGCAAACAGTCAAACAAAAATTAATTTTTGCGACAACTAGAACTATTTAGCACTAAGTACCTCATCCAAGTTCTAGATGCTTTCAACCAAAACTTACCGTATCAACTTTATATTATTAATAGAATTTATTAATCATACTGTGGATTGTACTCGAGCACACGTTATCTCGTACTTGATGTTGGTGAAAATAAAAGAAGACCATAGCATATACAATAGGATAACCGCTATTAGTTTGTATATCTTTATTGTTTCCAGAAGACTATTTTAAGCTTATCCTTTATGATTGTGTATTTTGAGAAAAACATAGAAAAAATGTTGAGAGAGAAAGAGAGAGAAAAATGAAGTTTTGCGATCATATACCCATTTATACAGAGAATATTTATTTTCTTGTACAGTGCATACATACAATATTTCTCATCTTACATCCATCGAGAGATGACTAATCTTTAATAATCATAGATTTTTTTCTTAATATTCATTAGCGTAGACTGATGAGAGAAGACACATGAAGAAAAAACAACAGCAAAACAGCTGCATCATACACGGAACACAAAAAGTAACAGGAAAAAGTGGATTATATTGCACTATTTTTGTTTCTTTTAGCATAGTTTTTATTCTTGACAGAATGGAACAATATAATAATACGTTTTCTGGAATTTGCTGTGTCTGTTGGGTCAAAGGCAAGGCTAAAATGTACATTTAGTTTCATAATACATTTCTTTAACTGTCACTTATACGCATATCACACACTAATAAAATTATTATTATCTTGGCCAATAAAAAGCATATACGTGCAGATAGTCGGTTAATCTTCCAACCTTACATTTCTTCTTCCATGTTTTCAAACAAAAAATATATGTACTATTCCCTCATGCATCAAATTTCAATACTTCAATGACCATTTCTAAGATCACGTCACTAAAAAAGGTGATCAACTGAGAATTGTAATCGTGATATTCAAAGAAAAGGAGTTTTGCAGAAGTAGTAAGAAAACTCCGAAATACAAAACAATCGTAAAATAACAGAGTTTCCACTTTCTACTCTGTTTTAATTGAAAAAGTACTAGTAATAATAGGAGATCAAACAAGAAGGATCAGTTAATGTTGCTTTTTATGCGAAAAGTAAGTTGCCATCTATTCAGATTACAATACGAGTCTTTTCTACTAATATCCGATAGAGATCAATGATTTCAATAAAGTCGGGATCTAACGGCATAAATGTAGAGAGCGATCAAGTTTAAATTGTCATCTGAATGTAGTATACATCATCAGTCATTCGAAGGCAAGATTGATACTCGATGAAAGCGCAATGAACTTTTACTATCATAGATAGATTCGAATTCCCAAACCGTATTTAATAATTTTATGCAATTACCACATCTCATCCCAGATGATAGTATTTTTCCTGAAAGTCTTAGAAGCGAACCGGAACGTGATTGATCAGTCTCAGAAATCATTGGAAATGTCTGTTAGTAATCATTCTTAATTTCTTAGCAATACTTCCTTCACTCAAAACTAAGCTAATCGCTAGTGTATTTAGCTCTATACTCTTTTGTTGTCTGCAACACATGATAGTACTGTTAAATGTAAGACAAACTTTAATGTTTCTTTTAGAAGTTTTGCACCATTACAACAATAATTTAGCATCCTTTTACATTGTATCAATCTTTCGGGATGTACATGACTTTCACGCGATTCTTTGAACTTGATAGTTTTCTTTGTGCACCTTTGAGGTTAGGACTCCACCACACATTGATGCAAATAGTCCGTGCCCTTCAGATTTTATTGGAACACAATGGACAAGTAAATGTGTGGTTGTAAATGTGTGGTTTGTTTAAAGAAGTAAACAAAAATAACGGATAAATTTCATTTTGTCTCTTACTAGAGCGCACATTTTTTCAGGAAAAATATTGATAGAATCTGGTAATTGGTATACAGAGAAAGATAAAATATATACATACATCATATAGGGAGAACAGTTGTATACAGTATCTTTCAATTAACGAATGACAAGCAAATTAAATATGGGACGAACTGTGGATCGATGAATGTTAAACAAAGGAAAAAAATATTTCTTTCGAAAAGATAATAGAATTCTGTCACACATATCATGTTCTACACAAAAAAGTAGTTATTATTGTGTTTTTATAAAGGCTATTATTTTGATAGTTAAGGTATATAACACGCTTTTCTCTCATGAGAGTACATAATCTATAAATTCTGAAGAATTAAACGACAAACATTTATGTATATATATTTCAACTCAAAAATCTTTTGAAATTTTTGCGTTACTGACTATTGTAACATTGATCAGAGGAAACCGACCGTCTCTCTTTCATCATCATCAGCATCATACTACGATAATGATAAAGAGAACAAAATTTTCAAAATCTGCTTATTTTCAACTAGAACTTCAAACTATATTCTTCAAAAAATTGCAACTTTCGTAGAGTCTATATTAGTTACTATTTGTCAGCAACAAACATAAAAGAAATCCTTAACAAACTTATTCAAACTGTAGCTATTTTTTTCTATTATTGACAAGTACTGATTTTATGAAAATTATTGTCGATGATTTAAAGAAGCTATTCATACCTTGTTTAAGTGTTTCTTGTTGTTCATCAAAAATGACAGAGGTTAAATCCGACGGTAATGAAACATCTGGAATGACTTCTAATAATTCAGGTGGAACATAGCATATCTAAAATGAATGAAATAGTATAAATGAAACGTTAGCGTCAAGTAAAAACAAAATTCTTTTTAATATTACCTGATTTAAATTTTTTTTATTTCTCACAAGCCATTTTTCTTTCTTTTCAACATCGACTATTTCCACAATATCTCCTCTATTCATAGAAACATCTCGACTATCATCACAATAATCTTCTTTTAATATAAAATCTGATAAAAAATATTCCTAAAATGAAAAAAAGAAAATGTTTGAAAAAAGACGAAAAAAAAACTAAATCAAATTCAATGATAGTTTTGCATACAACGTCTGATTGTTCACCGGAATGTATACTCAATCTTGATTGACGATGTTGACGAACATGCTTGTCAATTAGTTCTGTTGCAACCATCTATGACATAAGAAAAATAGTCAGTATCAATATTTGAGTGATGATATTAGGTTGACCAAAAAGTTCTGCAACACTAGTATTTAAATACTTTTTCGCAAGTGCTGCAGAACTTTTTGGTCAACCTAATATTTAACCATAAAGGGAGAATTACGATAGAAAACTTACAGATACATTTGTAGTATTCGATTTATTATCTTTTCCGGATTGTTCCGAGTCAGAAACGTTTGCTGAACGTTCTTCAAATTCTGAACTATCTGGTTCAGTCATTGCTACAATAAGAAAAAACAAAAATATGATAAAAAATAATGAATCTAGTACATTGGGAAATTAATATCAGTGCTGACTGAAACTATCTAGCTCATCCATTTATATTGTCAGATCTTATACAATTAATCAATACAATCGGACAGAAATAAAGTAATTCAGTCATTAATTTCTGTATACAGTTGCATCGTTGATAAAAATAATATTTTTTTGAGAATAAGATATCAAAAATAAATAGAGTCTGCTTTATTCAAACCTTCAACATGTAACTGAAATGAATTGTAAACAGCACCCATCATATTACTGGCCAAACATGTATATTCTCCTGAATCTAATATTGATACTGCTGGTATTTCTAAATAATTCTGTCCATCTTTATCATAAATTTTATAATAACCATCATCTCTAAGCGATTTTCCGAGTTTCATCCAAACAACTTCTGGAGGTGGGATACCTTAAATTATTAAGAACAATAGTAGATGATAATTACAAATTTAAATAGCATCAAATCTAAAGACGATTTCTTACCAATAACTTTGGCAAATATCTGAAAAATTTCACCTTCATGGATTGTTCGATTCGATGGCTTTATAATAAACTCAGGCGCTTTATATGTTTGCTGACTAGAACAAAATAAATGAAGGAATATTAATAAAAAAACAACAACAGATTATAATAGTAATGTTTAATTACCGTGTGCCATATGTAAATAATCCGTCCACCTTTAATCGTTTCATTTTATTTTCATTTTCTTCGACTTTTATTTCGCATTGTGCTGATACTTTACCAATATTATTTTGTGCAATCAATTCATATACACCATTATCACTCATTTGAGCTTCACATATTTCTAAATGATGAACACCACGATCCGCATACATATCAATGCGATGATCTTCTCGTAATTCATTTCCACCTTTCAACCACCGAATATTTGGTTCAGGAATACCTTAAATAGAAAAATAACGTTCGAATTATTCAAATCAGAGCTGGAATCGGACCGGTAGAGACCACTATTTCATCGGTTGAAACTTTTGAAACATTTGCTCGTTTTTAGATATTTCATCATCACTTGTTTTCAGATTAAATGTTATAGAGTCATTATTGCGAAGGTTCTCTCATATATGCTCTCCAATTATTTCATTTCTGGGAGAAATTATTTCTAAAAAATCGATTTTCAAAAAACTTCATTAGTTTTTCGTCGGTATTTCATCGGTTTGAGTTATAATTCCAACCGGCCAGTTTACCGCCGGACCGGACCGATTTACCATTTCTCAACCGGTTCCGGCTCTGATTCAAATGCACTACTACTATGCAGCAGTGGCTAACGAGGAAGCCTCCCGAGATGTCCACTTCCGATCCAAATGCTTTGTACATGGATGATAGATCTCAGTGAGGTAGTAAATACCCTAAAAAGATTCGGGCCCACGACTCTTTTTTGCCCAAACCAGTTTTTCAGAAACTTTAAAAAATAACCAAAACCTTTCTTAATGAGCCATGATTGTAGCCCCCACATTCATAATTAAAATGAGATATCTCCCAGCTCTCCATGACCTTTCTTTGCAAAGTTATAGAATTTAAAAGAAAAGACCTTAATTAATTTCTTCTTATTTCTGTAGCTTTAAGCCGACAACGAACATTTAGGACTTTTCTTGTAAATTCTGCAACCTCGTAAGGAAAGGTTGTGTAGAGCTGGAAGACGTTTCATTTTAATCAGAAATTTGCGGGCCACAATCATGCCTCATTAAGAAAAGGTTTTGATTATTTTTTATAGTTTCTGAAAAACTGATTTTTCAGAAAACCGGATCTTCAAGAGTCATGGACCCGAATCCTTTTAGGGTATTATACTACCTCACTGAGGTCTATCGATCCATGTACAAAGCATTTGAATCGGAAATGGGCATCTCGAGAGGTTCCCTCGAAGCAAAATTAAAACAAGCGTGAGAATTGAGAACAATAGACAGAGTTGAAAGTTAAGCAGAATTGTGCATGAAAAAAAATAGTTAGTTAAGAAGAACTGAACCTCATTTCATCAGAATTGACCATTTTCATATTAGAATTGACAATAGAACTGAATATAGATCTAGCAGAATTGAACAAGCCTATTGTGCCATATCAATGAATATTTCTATGAGCTCGTAAAATCACATAGAGCCATACTTCTTACATCTCAGCACGCCTGCCAATATAAATAATCTTTAGACGGAGGGAGAAGAGGCGCAGCATGAGTGAGTAACAAATAAAACATTTCCAAATAGAGACTCAATGTTTTAAAAAATCATGTGAGCGCAAACCTGCTCTGTCGTATCCGATTTTGCCTCAGCATTCTGTGATTCTGCTAGATCTATATTCAGTTCTATAGCCAATTCTGCTATGAAAACGGTCGATTCTGCTTAACTTGAGTAGATTACAGGAAAGTATGTACTTTTTCATATTCAATTCTGTCTCATCATTGTTCAATCTTGTGATTATTGCGTGAGGTAGAATTGGAGTCTGATGGAAGCGAGGTAGACTTCTGAATGTTTAGAAACTGTGACATCCCTCCTACTTTACCACAATTGATAATCTACTTTTAAATAGAAGAAAGTGGAAAATCAGTCTTCACCTGTAATGGTACTGTTGATATGAACATCTTCTCCTTCCTTGACATTGATCAGACTGGGTGGTTGTACGACAATTATAGGTTTCTGGTGGGCCTAAAAAAAGTAAAAAAATATATTAGCTGGAATACATGATAATCTAGTGACTTTAAACTGAAAATTGCATTTATTAAAACTTCCTACATTATGCGGTTCGACGGAATCCCGTGGAATTTCCTTTATCTTCTTCTGTGAAAGTGGTATATCATAATCATCGGGTTCATTAATCGTCCACATTATCAACTTTTGTGGCTAGTAGCTGAATTCTCGTACAGCCTATTATTAGTGATGTGTTGTACGCCTAATAACTATTATATCTTGACTGAGTAGTGAGAGAGACAACATTAGGCACACTCTTTTTCTATTCAATTATCGGAGAAACTACATTGTCCTTAAATGTGCAAATTTTTATTATTATTATATCTTTTCACTCTATCGTATCATATACACTTGAAGTTATATTTGCTATATGGCTGATCAACATATAGCTAACTCGATTGCCTATGTTGAAAATAACGCTGATATTACGGGATAAAAAACCAATGTGTCTTTATATTTTATCTCTAACAACTCATTGTCAGATTATATAAGGCACATAACAATAATTACATCAATGTCAATAATATTGAGAAAACAAAATTCTTCTAATTCTGTTTATCTCCATGTGCAAGCCCATCTGTATCTGACAGGCTATAACCTTTTTTCTCTCTCTGGGTATAACGTATGGTTTCTTTTTTTTTATTCCAAATTTTCAGCGATAGTGATCAGTAAATTATGCTTAAGCAAAACAATTATTGTTTCTTATCTCGAATCTCACAGACTTTGGGGCGACTAACGAACGTATTTCTGAAAAATTCTTTTTATAAAGGTCACTCATTCGACTTCATAAATTTAACAGAATAGTAGTAAGGTGCACAGAAAGCAGACTTTCTATGAAATTTATTTTCGACTTTTTTATACACCATTCCAGTTTTAGAACAGGTAAAAAGTCTCCCAAAAAAACGAAGAGCACATATTCGTGATCAGCTCGATGCCCTCTATCGAATGGTGTAATCGAAAATAAATTTTATGGAAAGTCTGCTTTCTGTGCACCTTACAACAAATTATGTTGTTTAAAATCTCACTCTTTTATTAAAATAACTTGTTGTTCTGCATAGAAAATGCGCATATTTCCAGTGGCAGTAGAGAAGAACATGATTTTTAAAGTGACTTACTGGCTGCACTTCCTTGTTAGTTTCGGTGGTATCAATATTTTTATCAACATCCATTTCTTCTTTTTTCTTGTCCGTCTCGGATGATGTTATGGTTAATTCAGGTGAAGATGTTAAATTTGACTCGATTTTAACGTCATCTACGTTTAAAGTGGTGACTGGCACTTTCTCTGGATTCATTTTCGCTGTAATATTTTCTTTTTCTTGTTCATTAATATGTTCAGCAGCAATCAAGGTTTCAAGCTCTTCGGTAACTCGTTCTAATTTTGAGAGTGGTACGTTAATGTAGCGCAGCGGTGAGGCTCCACGTTCACGTGCCGCTTGTGAAGGGCTGAGCGATCGACTAGGAGATGAACTTGAGATTCTACCCGGACTACGTGATGGAGATGGGGATTTTGATCGTTTTCTACCTAAAATAATAACGGGAGTTATCAGATGCAAATTAGATGAACCGGATATCGGGATAGGACTGAATTGTAATTCTTTTACTGCTAATTTGATTCCTGTAGTTGAACTATGCTACATATATTTCAAATTATTTGCTATTTATTATTCTTTTCCTTCTAAAACAGTTCGGACGAGCGATAGAGAATATAATATGAATATCGTATAGCGCATTAGTTAGACTAAATACAATCAACACAAACAAAACGATGTACAAAAGTCAAAAATCAGATCAGTTGTCCGTATTTTCTTTATCAGTAAATGATTATTGTCAAAAAAGAAATGTCATCAACTTACTTATTACTGCAAGAAAACCAGTTGTTACGGATGATCCATATTTATTAGTTACTATACAACGGTATGCACCTTCATCATCGATTGTTACATTGTGGATCGTCAATAAACATATTCCAGTCTTTTCACCATAATCAATAGAATACTTTTTATCTGTTGAAAGTATTTCTTTATCGCCATAATACCATCGAACATCATATGGTTCATCGTTTTCACTTTGTATTGTACACGTAAAAGTAGTAGTTTCATCTTCTCTAACATCAAATGAACTTAACCGTCGAACTATTTCTGGTGCTAAAATTAATAAATTATCATCCATGTGATACGTTTTAATAATAATTTAATAATTGGAGAAAATATTTTCTCCTGTTCACTAATGATTAATTAAAATTTAAACAATATGGAGAATATTTCTCATTATAAAAGTATATAATAATATTAAAACAAGAAACAACTACGAATCTCTTAATAAAAAAACTATCGAATTTTTGACAGTTATCATACGAGAACACAGTCTCCATATAACGAAACAGAAAACAAGAAGACATCAGCGTTAATGATTCGCATTGGGATAATACATATATAAAAATAATGATGAGAAAATTCTGTAACAAGCTTCCAATGTATATATCTATGTAGAGAGAGTAAAAAAAAAAATGATGAAAAATGTGCATATAAAGACAAGCCATGTGGTTTTCTTACAAGACATACGCTCGCATTCGTTTCTGGTTTCTACCTATATAGAATATTCTTATATTTTATATTGGCATATCAGAAACGTCATGGGGACTAAGAATTTGTATGAATAAATATTGATCGACATATAATGTGATTTAAACAATAGTATACACTTATTGTTATAATATCATATATGACAATTATACTTTTTGAACAATTAAATTTACAGATCAAGATATGATGTGTCGATTACAATAACCTAAATTAGAATTCAAGGTACGATTGATAAACTGTATGTGTTGGGAGATGACAAAATGTTTGCGTTTTTGTCAACTTGTTACTTTTCGATTCTGCTGCGCTTTGTGTACTACAAAAATGATTTGTAGATTCTTAGGCCATTATTCGAATATAAAAAAAACAAAATTAGATAAAAAGTAGTTGTTTAATCATTGACTTTTATATCGTCTAATATTGTTGATATCAAGTTGCTCGAGTTTAGTTCTGATACAAGAATTTATTCATTCATGTTTGATATCACGTTTCGAACATTCTGTTTTATGACAGATACGTACGACCGAATGTTAACCAGCTGATGCCGGAAATAGAAAAAAACAAAAAAATTGTGATCTAATCTGGTATATAATTAAGTGAAGGCAAAATATTTTTTACTGTCTAAAGATAATAACAGTAAGCAATAATCTTGTCTTACTGTTTCGTGCATGGAATTATTATGATAGATACAAAATTAGAAAATAATAAGGTATGCTTGGAAATTCAGAACTTTATTTATTCGGTATATTCTTTATCATATCTTAGATTTTTATTTAACTTAAAAAAACAACAAAAAATTGAAAAAAGTTCACAAATAAACTAGTTCTGACTTTGGAACAAATATGAAGCGTCTTATTTTCAGTCATAGTTCAAATGTTTATAGAAATCTAGCATTATTAGATTCGTACTAAACCTGTTGTTAGTGCTTTCTAAGAGATACATTTAATGAATTATTATGTATGTATGTGTAAATGTTTTTAAAAGAAAACAATGGATATTTTTCTTCTTCTCTAAGTTACTTTTTAGCAATAACAAATAACGCCTTACTTCTTTTATGATATATCCAATGTATTTATACGTGATTGTTTGCGAATAATCGAATGGCAAAAGTAAAACGAAATTAATTTCTTTTATGGTTTTCACCTCGACATGTTGTCCATTATTAATTGATCGAGAATATGACATTTTCATCCATATTCTCCATTTTATTATATGAAATATTCCATTTCTAGTATTTACATCACCAATACTATAAACTCATTTTTAGAGTTCTATAGTAATGTCTGGATTCATCTATACAATCTTCTTCATCATCCTGAGAATATATCGGATTGAAACTTTATTGGGTACCACTGATAATAAAGCTCTCAGTAAGACATAAATTTTATACAATTATAATTACCCTAATGAAAGTATTCATACTATGAGTACGACTTTACTCATAATTTGTCCATGAGTACTCATATGAGTTCTACTAACAATTTCTGAGTATTTTTACTCAGTGAGTACTCAGAAAATATACATTCACCGTTTTATTTTGCAAAAATGAAACTGTATAAAGAACGTCAAAATTAGTAAAGAAACATAGAATATTTATATTATTTTTTTCTCACTGATCTCTCTGTAGTCAGAGATAGACTCGTCTGTGAATAGACTTGTAGTCCAACTATGCCTGCCTAAGTTCACTCCTCTGTATCAAAATTACCAGATGGACAATACTCATGAGTATTTTGCCAAACGTTATATGAGTACTCAACAATACTCTAGGATGAGTACTCAAGGTCGCACCCACAGTACTCATTTACTTGATGAGTAAAAAAATGTGTGAGTACTCATGAGTACTCGGGACATTTTTCAGCAGAGTACGACTTTGAGTACTCAACCTTTAGTACATTCACTAGGGATAGTTTTTCAATAATAGATGTGTTACGAAATCTGCTGGGTAGTACATTTAACATCTCAATTACTTTTTCTTAACAGCAATGGATCAGCAATGTAATAAATCAATTACTTTAGTGGGTGATTCATTCCCTGCCTATTGGTTTGACTTAACGTCAAATGCTAAATATCAGCCGAATATGAACTGTGCATTTACGATTAAAACAACAACAGTTAGTCAAAGGATTATTATCGTTATTGAAAAAATGGATATTGCGACACCGCTCATTAATGGTGCTTGTGGTGATTCACTCAAAATTTATAATGAAACTTTAAACGGAATTGTGATAAATAACGATCTATCTGACCAGTGCGGTTCAAAAGTATTTCATACTGTGGTAAGTATGTAACTACTATCTGTTTCAAAATAAAGTAGATGTTTTTTGAATAACTTTTGATAGAAGCCAGCTGGAGAGCTTCGGCTTTCGCAACGCGAAAGAAAAGACTTGGATGCGTGTTTTCATAAGCAGAAACTTTCTCAGAAGTATTTTCTGAAATAGGTTTCTCCTAGGAGATCGTTGAAAATCTAGGCCGCGTATAAAAACTTTTCAATAGGATTGTATTGATTTTCCTCCATGATCTGATAGCCCAAAGTGTCCTCTTCAATATGAGAAGTCCGACACAACACTGGAGCCGCGGAAAATCAAGGTTTCGCTCGACCCTCATATTGAAGAGGACACCTTGGGCTATCAGGCCATGGAGGAAAATCAATACAATCCTATTGAAAGGTTTTTTACCGGTCTAGATTTTCAAAGATCTCCTAGGAGAAACCTATTTCAGAAAATACTTCTGAGAAAGTTTCTGCTTATGAAAACATGCATCCAAGTCTGCTCTGGCTTCTATCAAAAGTTATTCAAAAAACATCCGAGTCCACTTTATTTGAAACAGATAATAATAAAAGACTTTTTTATTAATCATCATCTTATCTGCAGTCACCTTCAAATCAAATTGTTTTATTATTCACAAGTAATCAAGACAAAAAAGAAGCTAGAGGATTTTCAATAACCGTCGCTATTGACTTTCGTAAGTTTGAAATGCACGATATTCTATGGAGAAAGTAAGGTGTGATTAAGTCCAAATTCCAGTAGAATTTTTTCTGAGTTTCTGTCGTCTTACCCATGTGGTATTAATCGCTTAAAAATCGGCGACTTTTACGTGTCTTAGCAATCGATTGTTGCGATACTTTGTTACAATTAGTCGGCGATAGTTTTGCGACTTGTGGCGATTAGTCGCGACTAATCGGAAGATTTTCTTTCATAGAAAGGAGATGCTAGGATCTATCTATAAGAAATTTCTTTTTTTGTCTTTTTCCATTGTTTTGCACTTAAATGACTTTCTTGTGAGAACGTCGACTACTTGGACCCTCTTCATCCCATTAATCGATTTAAAACACTGCCCAGAACTCCAGTTGTTCATCGGGCCCCTCGATTCAGAAACTGACCCTTGTCGAAACAACGAGTTATCTCTGAGCAGGTTACGAAGAACGCTCTGGGCGCGTCTCCCCAAAAATTAATCTAAAGGAAAAGATTAAACCGAAAAAGGAAACAATTGCCGTCGAAATTCATGTTTATATACACCTGGTCAGCTGCAAAATAAAGTGGTGAATGACTAGAAAACTCAAAATCGGGAACTAATCGCGATTAGTCAACGAGGTTTTGAGAAATAGCAAAATAATCAACGTTTAATCACGATATACAAAACAATCGCCGACATATTGCGACTAAATGGCGACTTTTCAGAAAAGTGCGATAATCGCTGATTTTTAAACAACATTGAACACATGGACAGTTGGAGAAAGCTCATCAAGTTACCTAGGAAAAGGTCAATTGTGAAAAGTATTTACACTACAAAGAGATCATTCTGTATGCAAACTTTTGTTGATGCATCGTTCTGGGATTCTGGAAAAACGTAAAAGTTAAAACTTTTTTGACTATTTCCAAAATTTCAATATTCTGAACTTCTTTCACAGAAATACTTTTAAAAAGTTAAAATTGACTTTTTCCTAGGTAACTTGATGAGCTTTCTCCAACTGGAATGACAGAAACCCAAAAAAATTCCATTCGAATTTGAACTTAAGCACACCTTACTATACTTACCGTTAAAACGACTTCTCGTTCTTTTTAGGTTTAACGGTTCCTCAATGTGCAAGAATGTATGGCATGTATAAATGTGATAATAACAACTGTATAGCAGATAAACTTCGTTGTGAAAAGCACAACGTATGCGGAGATTACAGCCATCAGAAGACTTGTCATGGTTAATGGCATAAACTTTCTTAGTGGTGCATCTGAATTTTGACGATATTTACAAAGTCTCGGGAGCACCGTTCAAAAATACTTTCAATGAATTGTTTTTTATATCAGCCTAATCGGTATTACATAATAAGAGTTATAGTTATTTTCAAATATGGCTGCTTGATTACGAATTTTATGTATCAGTTAAAAGTCTAATGAGAAAAGAATAATTCCACGCAAATATTACAAGTTCTATTTTAATATATGTGTCACACATATATACTGCTTTATGTTTGGATACTTTTACGAAGTTCCTAGTAACCTCACCTAATAAATGAAAATCTTTTGATTTACATCATTACAACATATTAAAGAAAAATAATTAGATAATTCTTATATCTTTCTGCAACCTGCAACT